GATTGTCCATTTAAAGAACATTTTAGTCTTGAATATATGTAAAGTGGTGTACTACCCAGTAGGGATACAGTAGTGAAAAAGAGAAAGACAGTTCTTGGCCTTACAGATTTAAATTCAATATTTTATGTTGAAATTAGATATCAAAGAGGCTATTTTAAGATAATTTTTCAAAGTTTGAATAATTGATAATTGTAACTTTTTTCTATATATTTGATATATATGCACATATGAAATATTTTAGTAGTTTTTGTTTGATTTGAAAATTGGTCAACTCTTGATTATCCAGGATATAGGGACCCTTATCAAATTTCTACATTTGCTTGGTACATTCTGATGTTGATGTTAATTTGAGCAGAACATAGTTAGGAACATAGTAATACAGCTAGAAATACTAGTCACAAAAGCAAATAAAGTTAACATATCTCTATAGCATTTGTAAATGCTTTTTTTAAATTTTATTTTATTATGTTATGTTAGTCACCCTACAGTGCATCATTAGTTTTTGATGTAGTAAATGCTAAAAGGTAATGCTGACTGGCCTTATATATAGGCGTTTTAAAAATTCTCATTGTACTGAAAAGGAAATTCAGACTGGAAGTAAGTGATAAACACAAGATTATTTAGGAAATATATGGTAGAGCAGAATTTAGGTTGATGAAATTTTACTGTGTTTTTTTTCTACTAAATCACCAAATAAATGGTGTTTGAGTTACTCATCTCTCTGATAGCTGTCATAAATGATTGGCTTTAACCATGAAAAATACAGTAAGATTGTTCACTAAAGAAATACCTTAAGTGGTATCTTCTTTTCCAAATAGTGCAATGCTCTAGTATATTTGTATTTTATTCCAAACCCTGCTAATCCTAATCATTACACAAAAAATTTTTTTATTTTGATGTAAAAAGTTAATGCTGGTGTGTTTTCACATTTCTCCAGTATATCTTTTGGGTACAAATGAAAATCATTGATATCACTTATAATTAAAAAAATAAAAATAAAATTAAGTAAACATTAGATGAAAAGTTTAAGTGGGCCAGATGTGTTGTTGAGACTTAAGTACTGTGTTGAAGGATTATGGAGTAGCCCTGTCTGATCTAAGCTCTGTTGATAAATAGCTGTCATAGGTTGTAAAGGCATTGATTGATTATTGATCTGGAACAGTTTTCAGTATTGAATGTAACTGGCTTATTTGGCTGCTGTAGTGCAACCTCTTTCCATCTGGTTTTTAACTGGTTCTTGATACCTACTACTCAGGTATTGCTTCTGTGACTGTTAGGCTTGAATTTTTGTTTTACTTCACATACCTGCTTTTCTCTGGCTTTCCATAGTGCTCATTGTAATAAAACTTGCTACAACTGGGTGGCAGTGTTGATTTCAGAGAAACTTTAGAAAAATGCTATTTTGTGGGTATATGTTCAAAGAGAGCCATTTGAACAAGAACTCAAATTTGGAAGTCTGTGTTTAGTGAAATACTTAAGACATGTTTGGTGAGATAATATGAAAAATCAAATCTATTAAGTCATCTAACTCATCTTTATAGCCAATCTAATTAAACTTGGTTTTATGATTTTTTTCAGTGTTTAATTCAGTGAATGAAAATCACATTTATTAGCGTATGGAATACAGTAAAATTTAAAAAATCAGTCCTTACATGTATTAAATGTAAGAATAACTTATGGTAGTTGTGTTAGTGAGTAAAAGAGAATTTAATATTTTTTTTAGCAAATATGTAAATAGATGACTGCTATGTAAGAAAATTTACAACACATCTCACCTTTTTTGACTTTTTAAGACAGCATGCATAAACTTTTTTATTTGGTAACCGAAAAAATTTGACTTGAATCACTTTTCTTCTGTATTTTATTTTGTCAGTTATAATTTTAGAAATCTTTAAAAATAATTTTCTCCAGTAAGTGATTTTCTTCATTTATCTTTGGTTCTCAAATGGAAGTGCTATGTCTGTTATTTCACACTTATTCCTCAGGTGTTTATGGCCTTATCAGTACAATACATCATAGCATGTTTTGACTCACTGATACGAAATTGCACTAAGGGCTCTATGAAAGACTGTACATTATTTCATGATACTGGCAATCAGAAATTTCTTTTTAATCGGATGTGAACAACAAATTATTCAACTTTTCCTCAAAAATAATACAGTATTAGAAACCAGTGGTTAATTTAAATAAATTGTTTAACCATGAAAACCTCCAGGTGGAGAAGAAAATATTTTATCCTTTAGATTGTTTAATTATAATTTATAATGTGAAAAAGATAGGGGCGCCTGGGTGGCTCAGTCGTTAAGCGTCTGCCTTCGGCTCAGGTCATGATCCCAGGGTTCTGGAATGGAGCCCCACATCGGGCTCCCTGCTCGGCGGGAAGCCTGCTTCTCCCTCTCCTGCTCCCCCTGCTTGTGTTCCCTCTCTTGCTGTGTCTCTCTGTCAAATAAATAAATAAAATAAGTTAAATAAATAAATAATCTTTAAAGAAAAAGAAAATTGACAGTAAATTATATCATACTGGCCTTGATTGGTTAGAACATGTTAACCATCTCATAAAATTTGCCTTCAACCTACCTAGCTCAGTAAAGTTGTAGGATACAAAATCAACATACAAAAATCTGTTGTTTTTCTATACACTAATAATTATCAGAAAGATAAATTTAAGAAAACAGTTTTATTTACATTTCCATAAAAAAATAAATACCTTGGAATAAGTTTAATCAAGGTGGTGGAAGGATCTGTACACTGAAAACTATAAGACATTAATGAAAGAAATTGAAGAAGACAGAAATAAGTGGAAAGATATTCCTTGTTCATGGGTTAGAAGAATTGTTATAATGTCCATATTACCCAGAACAGTCTACGGATACAATGCAATCACTATCAAAATTCCAATGGCATTTTTTTACAGAAATAGAACAATAATCCTACAATTTGTATGGAACCACAAAAGACCCCAAATAGCCAAAACAATCTTGAGAAAGAAAAAGCTGGAGGCATCACACTCCCTGATTCAAACTATATTACAAAGCTCTATCAAAACAATGTGATTTTGGCATAAAAACAGACATGTAGATCAGTGGAACAGAATAGATGGCCCAGAAATAAACCTACACACAAATGGTCAGTTAATTTATAGTAGAGGAGCCAAGAATATGCAGTTTCTTCAACAAATGGTGCTGGGAAAACTGGATATCCACATGTAGAAGAATGAAACTGGACCACTATTTTACACCATAAACAAAAATTAACTCAAAATGGAATAAAGACTTTAAGACCTGAAACCATAAAACCCCCAGGGGAAAACTTGGCAGTAAGCCCCTAACATCTGTCTTGGCAATGATTTTTGGATCTATGACACCAAAAGCAGGGGCAGCAAAAGCACAAAATAATTAAGTGGGACTACATCAAACTAAAAAGCTTCTGCACAGCAAAGGAAACCATCAACAAAATGAAAAGACAGCCTACTGAATGGGAGAATATATTTGCAAATTATGTATCTGATAAGGGGTTAGTCTCCAAAGTATATAAAGAACTCAACTTAATAGCAACAAAACAAACAATATGATTATGAAATGGACGGAAGATCTGAATAGACATTTTTCCATAGAAGACATACAGATGGCCAGTAGGTATATGAAAAGATGTTCAGCATCACTAATTGTCAGGGAAATGCAAATCAAAAAGCCACAGTGAGATATCCCCTCATACCTGTCAGAATGGCTATTATCAAAAAGACAAGAAATAAATGTTGGCAATGATGTGGAGAAAAGGAAACCCTTGTGCACTGTTGGTGGAAATATAAATGGTGCAGCCACTATGAAAAATAGTATGGAGGTTCTTCAAAAAATTAAAAATATAACTACCATAAGATCAAGCAATTCTGCTTCTGGCTGTTTATCCAAAGAAAACAAAACCACTGACTCAAAAAGATATGTGGACCCCCATGTTCATTGCAACATTATTTACAACAGCCAAGATATGGAAACAGGTAACCCAAGTGTCTACTGATGGATGAATGGATAAAGAAAACGTGATACATACAATGAAATATTACCAAGCCATAAAAAAGAATGAAATCTTGCCGTTGCAACAAAATGGATGGACCTGAGAGCATTATGCTTACTGAGATAAGTCAGAGAAAGACCAAAAAAAAAAAAAAAAAAAATCTAACCCCCCCCCAAAAAACAAAAAAACCCAAACCCCAAGTTTATAGATACAGAGAACAGATTGTTGGTTGCCAGAGTCAGGGATGGATGAAATGGGTGTATGTCCAAACTTCCAGTTGTAAAATAAATAGCCATGGGGATATGATGTACGGTTTGGCAACTATCATTAATATGTGTTGTGTATTTGGAAGTTTTAAGAGAGTGGATCTTAGAAGTTCTCATCGCAGGAAAAAAAAATTTTGCAACTGTGTATGGTGACAGATGTTAACTAGACTTACTGTGGTGATCATTTCCCAATATATATAAATATCCTTATGTTGTACACCTGAAAATAATACAGTGTTACATGTCAAACCTCAATACAAAAAAAATTCTTTTTTCTCAGCCTGCCTAGCCCTTTTGTGGGCACACAAGGAGCTTTGGGATCATGCTCATTGGCCTCTGGCCTCTACAACCTGAGGAGCTGGGAGCACAGCAGTTTACTTATACCCCTGAGCCTCCATTCGCTTATATAAAAATTTGGGAACATGGGATCAACTGATTTTTCTGTCAAATAAAGGAGAATGCATTAATGAAAGTACCTGGCAGTAATTAAGCACTTTAAAAAAAATGAGTATAATTTGGTGAATATTTGTGTTTCATAAATACAGCAGTGGAAGGAGAAAGGAGACTGTTGAGAACAGAATGAACAAGGGGAATTAGAGCAACAGTGGATGGATTGATATAGCCTTCCAAGGATTCTCCTAGTACCATAATTTATTATATCACGGATCTAACTTTTAAAATAATGTATGTCGAATTACTGATTCTCTCTCTCTCTCTCTTTAGGATACTTACGGAGAGCGACCATGGAAAAGTCCTGGATGCTGTGGAACTTTGTTGAAAGATGGCTAATAGCCTTGGCTTCATGGTCTTGGGCTCTTTGCCGTATTTCTCTTTTACCTTTAATAGTGACTTTTCATCTGTATGGAGGCATTATCTTACTTTTGTTAATATTCGTATCAATAGCAGGTATTCTTTATAAATTCCAGGATGTATTGCTTTATTTTCCAGAACAGCCATCTTCTTCACGCCTTTATGTTCCTATGCCCACTGGTATTCCACACGAAAACATTTTCATCAGAACCAAAGATGGAGTGCGTCTAAATCTTATTTTGATAAGATACACTGGAGACAATTCACCCTATTCCCCAACTATAATTTATTTTCATGGGAATGCAGGCAACATAGGTCACAGGTTACCGAATGCATTGCTTATGTTGGTTAACCTCAAAGTTAATCTTTTGCTTGTTGATTATCGAGGATATGGGAAAAGCGAAGGAGAAGCCAGTGAAGAAGGACTCTACTTAGACTCTGAAGCTGTGCTAGACTATGTGATGACTAGACCTGACCTTGACAAGACAAAAATTTTCCTTTTTGGACGTTCCTTGGGAGGAGCAGTGGCTATTCACTTGGCCTCTGAAAATTCACACAGGATTTCAGCCATTATGGTGGAGAATACATTTCTAAGCATACCGCATATGGCCAGCACTTTATTTTCCTTCTTTCCAATGCGTTACCTTCCTTTATGGTGCTACAAAAATAAATTCTTGTCCTACAGAAAAATCTCTCAGTGCAGAATGCCTTCTCTTTTCATCTCTGGACTCTCTGACCAGTTAATTCCACCAGTGATGATGAAGCAACTCTATGAGCTCTCCCCTTCTCGGACTAAGAGATTAGCCATCTTCCCTGACGGGACTCATAATGACACGTGGCAATGCCAGGGCTACTTCCCCGCCCTTGAGCAGTTCATCAGAGAAGTCCTCAAAAGTCATTCTCCGGAAGAAATGGCAAAAACTTCCTCTAACGTAACAATCATCTAATGTTCCTTTTGACTCATGCACTGTATTTTAATTTGTGCAGAATGATAAAGAATGTTCCTTTCTAGAAATGTGTCATGTCTGTACTTGTCTGAAGAGTGACATTAAACTTTGAAAGGACTTCAGTACTCCTTTGAGATGATCCAAATAGTTTTTTACATTTGAAGAACTAGAATTCTTGGGATTCTTTCATACATTTTCATCCAGCCTTTCAATGTGGTTATGTATTCATACCTTTAGTTTAATATGCCAGTGTAATAGCATATTGTATTCAAAAGTTTCTTGTTGCCTAAGTGGTGTGCCCTGTGTGACACTTGGATTAATGGCGGGGTGTGGAAGGAGATTTGTAAACGAGAAACCTTTGAGTATTCTGCCTTTAGTAAATACCGGGACAATCATGGTAAGCAAACGTAGTCTGTAACTGCATTCTTCCCCTTAACAGTTAAAATGAAATGCATGATGGTATTTTATTCCTTGAATTATGCAATGCAATGTTTTTAATGTAAATACTACTGGTCATATACTGATGTATATGGTAACCTGGGTCATATCTATTTTTATGTGAACTCTATTTTGTTCTTGGCAAGAAGTGAAATTGAGGCCTGTGTACAGGTTGCCACTGACTTTTGCTCTGGTGAATGCTGAGATCCAGCTTTTTCTTACAAATAAATGGGACCCCACTTTTCCAATATAAATGTACCGTGTTTTGTTAGGTACAGTCTGGATCATGGCATGTAAAAATAGAAATTTAGAATTTTACTGCAGCTTTGATGTGCATATTTGAACTTTTTAACATTTGTAATTTTGGTGGCAAAGAGAATTTTAGCTTCTGTCAGTTTTGTACGTCTGCAGCTGAACCATTAATAGCAGTCGTAATGACAATTAGAACTTGTTTAAGAATTAAATTAGCAAGTCTTATCATTACATGATTGTACATACTATTTTAGAGAAATTCCCACATTTGATTTTTAAGTCCAATATCTAAGTATATCTAGCCCACTAAAGTCAAGATATCATTTATTGGACTTTCTGAAAATAAAAGTTACAAAAACAAAAGCAAAAAAGCTGTTCTTTGGTTTAATGTTTCAGTTGTTAATGATAGTATTGAAAGACAGTTTCAGGAAGTCTTTATTTTTCTCCTACATGTAGGAATGTGGGAGTGAAGGAACTCTAGAGTTTTTTCTTACAGAACCTATTACCACGTTTAACAATTAAGTGGCTATAAAGTGAGAAGTAGTATTTAGACATATAGAAGAGTAAGAAAAATCTCACTTAAAAAAAAAAAAGCCCCTTAAAACTTGCAGGATTTACCTTAAAAAATATAAGCTATGAGGTATAATTGTGCTAAATTGTTTCAAGTCGTCCTCAAAAATGAGGTGTAATTGAGCTCTCTACATTATGTCAGCTTTAATGTACCATATTTTGAATATTTTAGCTATATTTATTGGCTTTGTGCAAGCAGCTAGAGCAGAGAAATAACGGGTCAATGTTCTTGACCTTAATTTTAAAATCTTTCCATGGAGATAGGGCTAGAAATACTTTTGCCAAATAACATTCTTATTCACTTTATGTCAGTATTTAGAAAAAAATACATTCTAGCAAGTATGATTTCTAAAGGACACTTTTTCTATAAATTATTGTTAGAAAGTCATGCTTTTTAAAAAAAAAGTTGGTAATGCATATCGTGGAAGGAGTATTTTATGTATAAATTCACCACGATTAAAGGATATTTTCCATCTTCTCAGTCATTGCTATGTAGAATGACTATCCTAAATAGTAATGTATTAAAAAGAAAAGAGTTAATACAACAAATGTAGTGTCCTTAGGCATGAGTTTACTTGGCACACCTTAAGACTTTCATCATTCTTTAAAGTTTACAGAGTACCTTCATGTGTTTTCATGTGATTATTTAGTCTACTGCTTGTGGAGGGATTTATCAACTTTAGTTGTAAATAGTATGCTGATGAAGTATAAAAGCTTTTTCTTCATCGGTGTTTTGTTCTTATGCTGCCTTTTTTTTTTTTTTTAGGGTTTATAAAGTTTTGGTTTTGTTTTTGTTTTCCCTAAAGCCAGGATTTCAAAAGTTGTAAAGTACTTGTATCCATCCCCACCTTCATTCTCTTCGGATTAAGAGGCGTTTCTTCCTGCAGCAAAGGGAGGAGGCTGTGTTTAGGGTTGTAGCTCATCTTTCTTTCCTGGCTTCTATATTTGAGATTTCCTTAGTTGGGAAGAGGGTAGAAAACAAACTCTTGTTAACTGTGGTCCATGAAGCCCATGGCATCATTTTTTTAAACCATGTCTAATTTTGTGGCCAAAACAATTGGTCTTAATAAAACGTGAATTCTTCATGGGTCACTCCTTCATTTGGACACATGTATTAGTGGGAATAGAAGTGTTTCTTGTGTATTAATTTCTGGCTCATTTTGCAAGAGCAGCTGTTAAGAGATTATGAATGATTTTTAAGTTATTAAGTTACTGTAAATTTGGAAATCCTAGAATGATTTTAAATATGGCAAGATACAGTTTATTTAGATCAAAGTCCATTATTTTAAAAGGGATTATTGGGGGGGTGGCAAAAAGAATACTAAAAAGGATATTGCAAAATAGAAATAATTTGTGACAGATGAAAGATAAAAGATACTAAATGAATAGAAATAGCTAGAAAGGGAATGTGACCTGGTTCTTGAATGTAGATCCAGGAAATGATTAACTGAAGAGATTGGCAAAAAGGATACCTAATAGTGCAAAATGATACATTTGTATGCAAGGCATCTCTAACAAAGAAAGTGACTAGAGCACCTGACATGGCAAATACTTGGACTGTAAAATTGATATTTTTATTGAAATGGTATTTTCAGTTTTGTTACTGGGCAGCTTAAGCTTATTTTTTCATGATGAGCTGTAGACACTTGGTAATTACCCAAGTCCCAGCTTTGGTAATATGTCAATAACATTCTCTTGTTGAGAATTCGTACCACCTGATGCTTTTATATTCATTTCTTATTTTTGTAAGATTTGGTTTGAGGTAGGAATAGGTTTGTTTGGTCAAATTACAGAATGAAGGCCCTGTTGAATTTTATATAAATTTTCTTGCAATCTCAGTTTAAGGGCAGTTTTTATTACTGAGTTCCTTGCTTAAGGTTGGGAAAAAATAAGGTAAACTTTTACATAGGATGTCACAGAAGTCCCTTCTAAAATTAGGTCATGATTGAGATATCCTGAACTCTTGCACTGACCTCCCCCCTCTCGTTTTTCCTATTATGTTTGACAACAATAATGAAGAGAAGAAAAAAAAAAACTGTGAGAAGTATTCGTTACAATGCTTTTGGATTAAGACACTTAAATTTATGTATTTTCATATCACTCAGGTAAAGTTGGAAAAATGACAGAGCACAGACCTCTATTTTTTCAATCGGTAGATTGAAAATGAAAAGCACTTCTGTTTATTTATATTACCATATATGCACATCATCTTAGCTAATCAGAAATAATATATTCATTTTATAGCAAAATAAATGCATTCATCCTAGTTATAGTCAACACGTTTTTGCCAAATGGCACAAATATACCTCCATTTATATTTTGTATCTAAAAATGTAGTTTAAAAATAGGACTATGTATAAGAGACACTTTTTACAAAAAGTGCCATATACACATAATGTAACAGGGATGAGTGTGTGTTTTCAACATAATTTATAACAGTTTCTGTCAGTACAGTGAATACTGAAAAGTCAAGTTGTTTTCAACATATTCAAGTATATCCAGGATAAAATAAGTTCACCCAGTTTCATGTAAATCATATTTTTGTTATTTGCCATATTTTATTTGAAGCAGTAATACAATTTTATAACTCAGATTTGAATGTCAGCGTACACAATGTGCTAGCCATGGCAAGCAAACATTTACATTTGTTTTTTTTTACAATAAATTTCTTTTAGAATATACTTTCTATTTTTCTGTACTGACATATGCAATAAATTGATACATTAAAAGTTTGATTAATGTCTTAAGATAGTTTGTATTCAGTCTTTTTTTCCCCAGTTTTCTATTAACCTAAATTACATGGTAGGACATTAAGATTTCCTTAAGGGTCAAAATTTCTGAATTCATACAGAAATTAATGAATTTTTATTGTTGTAATGGTATGGGTGATAAGTACAAGTTAGATTTATAGTCTCTTCATATCCTCCCACAGACATTTAATTTAGGCTAATAGTAAATATTTTCTTTTTTTTTTAAGGGTTTTATTTTTTAAATTTTTTTGAAAGATTTTATTTATTTGACAGAGACAGTGAGCCCAAGCAGGGGGAGCGGCAGGCAGAGGGAGAAGCAGGCTCCCCACCGAGCAGGGAGCCCAACGTGGGGCTTGATCCCAGGACCCTGGGATCATGACCTGAGCCAAAGGCAGACGCTTAACCAGCCGAGCCACCCAGGCGCCCCGTAAATATTTTCTATATATGAACCTATTCATTCATATGAATGAATACGGCCCCAAAGCATTTGATTAGTTAAATGAATCTAGGAATGATTTTATTTTTTTAAATTTCTTTGAAATTTTTAAATTTTTTTGAAATTTTAACTGTTCATAGGCCTGTTGCCTTCAGATTTCATAAAGTGCCTTTTCACAAAATTATGGTCTTTTTTTCCCTCCCATTACTATGGAGTTGATAGTTTAGAATGATTTTAAAATGGCCTGATACTCATTCAGTCTTTGAGTCTGTAGCTTGCTTTCCCTGACAAGAAACTCACATGCTTCAATAGTGTCAGAACCAATCGGATGAGAGGAAATGTATGACAAACCATTTTAAATGGCCCCGTACAAGTGGAGATGAAGAGTTCAGTTATTGGAGACCACCCTTCCATTGGTAGATGTGGGAAGTGAGATCTCCCATGTACTTGCCTCAGAGACCACCAACCTGAATCCCAAGAGAAAGTAGTTTTTTAGACTACTAGTTCTTGTTTTCAAAAAAGATTTTTTCACATTCTTATTTCACTCTCCAACTCTTGCTTTACATTCTGTTACATGCTAAAAGTCATGAACAGTTGGGTCTGGTTAGAGAATATACC